ACACACACACACACACACACACACACACACTCTATGCAGACACAATACAGTAACACAAAGACATCTGGTGTGTTGTCTGCTCTCAGTGCTTTATTCCTCTGTGTAGCATAATATATTGCATTGACATGTTTTGCAGGATTTCATTTTTTATACATTCACAATGTTAAAATCAATCAAGACATCATGAAAACAATTGAAGATTAGACTATAATTCAGACTAAACCAGGCAACGTGTATTAATCTGCAACTAAGTGGTAATAGATCGGATCTGAGTGATGTGTATAAATATAAATGTCACATTATTATTATTTTAAATTTAAAGGCTTTTGCTCCAGAATGAAGGTTGTGGTTTTAACAGCTTCTTTGTGAGCACAGAATGACAAACAGCAAAACAAATCAGAGGTAGATCATGTGTTATATATCTATATCTATATCTATATATATCTATATATATTGATTTATTGCCAAGCCTTATTATATATTCATTGATTCATTTATTGTCAAAAGCTGCGTTTCATTGATTTATTATTATTGTGATTATGTCATTTCAGGGATTTGAATGAGTCAGATTTCATTAAAAATGTTTTAAACAAGGAAAATTTTATATCGAGCTGAAATAAACGATCGAGAATTTTTCTTTTTTTGTGACATAATCAAGTTCAGATCAATAATAACTCCTCACTTCCTAACTAGTTATGCAAATTCAAAAAGTAATTACATGTATCTTGAACCATGAACAGAAATATCTCAGTTTTATCTCGATCATTTGCAGCCTGTTGCACAATGTAATGGTGGCTGTTGCTCACTGTTCCAACCAGTTAGGTCACATTGTGTCCCACTCAGTGTGGATGGGCCTCACAGTGCTGGCTTTGTACTGAGTCAGGGTGTCCAACACGTTTTCACTGCAGTATCTGCTAAGCAGGCCGGCTCAGTTTCTGCTGAACTGGCTCTTTAATTGAGGCTGATTACATACGAGTGACATTCTTCATTCATGTCTCAAGATTTCTTCTCAAGCTCGATATCAATGTTTTCTAATATTACATGAATCGATCCTTCTTCTGTTTAAAACAGTGAATGCGCTCGAGCAGAATTTCGCTCATCAGATCATCTGGAAGATGTTTTTGATTTTGTTGTTGTCCTCTTGGATCTGACGTGTTTGTCCTCTGTTGTCCAGGTGGCTGGTGATCGCTGTGGGTCTGGTCAGAGCTTATCTAGCCAGAGGAAGCTACCATGGGCTGTACTACTCTATAGAGAAGCCTCTGAAGTTCTTTCAGACTGGAGCTATTCTGGAGGTGAGACGAGCTGAGTGATACGGACACAGTATATAGTAGAACAGCACTCAGTAGTACTTCCACCAAGGCCCAACAGTCCCCTCAGGAGGCCACATTATATTCAATGGTTTTGGGATTATTATTTGGATCTGCACCAAACTTCACACTCTCATAAATATCAGTCCCCTGAAGAGCCTGTGTTTTTTCATCAAGAGACTTTTCCATCAGCATAAAAAAGCATCATCAGGTTGATACGATCAGTTTGAGTCTGGATGTGCAGCGGGTGTCTCAGGCCTGTTGTCTGTCCAGCGTTTGGTGTGTCCTCTGTAACATCTCAGCGTGGTATGTTCGGCTGTCACACACGTGTCGTCCAGCAGTGTGGAGGCCGAGCAACATGTCCACACACTGTCGCTTAGTAAGAGGAGATTAGTTTTGTCAGTATCTTCCATTCATGAAACGGTCTGTGCACAGATTGAACGCTACGTGTGCTAATTCAATGTTAATCATCAGGAACAAAACACACGATTTAGAAATACAAAGTCAGTTTTTGTGTAATAAGTATGAGCATATTGACTCATGTTCTGTTATCTCTTCACAGATACTGCACTGTGCCGTAGGTGAGTCCCTCTTCAGCCTCCACCCTCCACCACACGTCTGATCTAGAGAGCCGTGGCTGATATCTTTAAATTATAACGTGGACCGGTCACTTTGAATTTGTGACTCGTCAGATTTCATTTGTAGATTTTTCTCTGATCCACAAACGTGCTGTTCATATTTCAAGTGTTCTCCAGAGCCATAGTTGAGAAGCTGTCGGCTCTCATGGTGTTAATGTGATGAGTTCACAGTCCATTTCCTTCATTATCTGGGATTTGGAGCTAAAGCTAACAGACCTTTCCCAGTCTGAGCATGTACACACACACACACACACACACACACACAGATATAGATATCAAGTGTGTGTCTTTTGTGTATCCCAGGAATCGTACCGTCCTCAGTGGTCCTGACTGGATTCCAGGTCATGTCCCGGGTCTTCCTCACCTGGGCCGTCACACACAGTGTCAGGGAGGTAAGATGAGTTTCTCTCCAGTCACACTCACATTGCATCACACACTCTAATTCACATAAGCCATTTTCAGACATGCGATGTTCGGAATATTGGGTTCAGACAATTTCTGGAGTTTTAACTTATAGAAAAGTCACCAACACACACACCCGCCCGCTCGCTTTAAATGTTCCGCACATTTTCCTGCTGTATTCTTTTTGGGCTCACTCAGACATTACATCAGGGGGCTGTGATGTCAAAACTTGTCTGAAAGCTGCTTTAGTGACGATAGTGGAAAATGAATTCATGTTCCAAAGTGACCAGTTGATGTACTGTTTGCCCTGTTGATAGATGTGGATTGGATTAGATTGGAGAGCAGTAAATGTGTAAGTAATGTCAGACGGTCGTGCTGTAGAGTTGCAGGAATGAATCTAGTGAATAACCGATGCATTTGATGTTTTAGTGTTGCCTTTCTTTTGTTTGTCTATGTTATGATGTACTAACAAGCTGTTCTCTCATTCTCATTAAATTTGTATGTGTACTGGAAACTGTATAAATATCTTTAACATCCTATTTGCATCAGTTTTGACCTAATATGTGAGGATGGTGTCCAGCGGCCTGCAGTGTGATCTGATTTCAAACAGCATGGTTCTGCGATGAAGAGTCTAGATTAGCCAGCAGCAGATTAACAACCGCGGCCCGATGCATGTTCCCCACTCGTTCCTCCTCCCATCATCCTTTGTGTTTTGTGCAGGTGCAGAGCGAGGACAGCGTGCTGCTGTTCGTCACAGCCTGGACCGTCACAGAGATCATCCGCTACTCTTTCTACACCTTCAGCCTGCTCAACCACCTGCCTTACCTCATCAAATGGGCAAGGTAGGAAAAAGTCTGCCCGAGAAACATGCATCACCAAACCCACCGGAAATCTTTTCACTGTACAAATCTTCATCTGCTTGTCTGCCTGGTGGGATTCATGTGCATCTACGAGCAGAGCAACAGTTGTTAAGCTCCCCCCCCCCCACAGTCTTTGTTGCCAGGTAGCAAATGAGGCCGTCGCTATATTGGTATTCACTTTTAGCTCGAGCTGCACCACGAGGGACAGAAACACTGCTCGTTCACCCTGTTTGTAGTTAAAGAAGAGAGAGATCTTTTAACTTCTGTCTTTGATATTTATTCTCTTTGCAGGAGAAATGCAGCTCAGTGTATCTCCTGTTTGATTGCAAAGCTTTCTCCTCTGAAGGTCTGATCCCTCAACAGTTCTACGATTAACCGCGCAGAGGCAGCATTACATCCTATTTATTTACATTCTTCAACATTCTTGTCAAGCAGCAGATGTTAAAATATTTATATCACAGTATATTGAGAGTTTGATGTAATTTAAAGTGGGAATGCAGATGTTTCTTTGTTTCTTTAATGCGTTTCCATTAGAATTGGCACCAGGTCTCTAATCAAATTCACTAGAACCATTGCCTGCTTGTTAATTGTTGTGGCGCAAACACCAAGATATCAAATCAAATGTTTTCACCTTCTCTGTCTCTGCAGGTACACCTTCTTCTTCATGCTGTACCCTATGGGAGTGACCGGGGAGCTGCTGACTATCTACGCAGCTCTGCCGTATGTGCAGAAGACCGGCCTGTACTCCATCACTCTTCCCAACAAGTACAACTTCTCCTTCGATTACCACTCCTTCCTCATCCTCGCCATGATCTCCTACATTCCCCGTAAGTCAACAGGCAGATTTTACTTTCGTACCCTTTCGTGATAATAAGAACACGCAGCATCGATCCTGATCTTCCACTAAGAATTTGCTCGACATCACATATGCAGAGCTCTGCTAAAGGACAGTTCGAGTGTTTTTCTTTCTCCAATAGAAGAAAGTATCTCACAGTTCTTCAGTGAAAGTCTCTTTTGTTGATATTGTTGTAGTCTGTATTTCACATACTGATCCTCCTCTGCCTCCCTTCAGTCTTCCCCCAGCTTTACTTCCACATGATACGACAGAGGAAGAAGGTGCTGGGCCACATAGAGGACTACAGCAAAGTGGAGTGAGCTGAACAGTATTCACACAGAAATTAAAAAACCAAAACAACCGAGAGAAGAGGAACTAAATCACATCTGATTTACACAAAACCCGGCCAGATTTCAAACTGCCAGAGCTGACCTGGCAGACGATCAAATTATCAAGCTACGTTATTGTTCTCTTTCTTTCTCTTCCAGCTGTTGTATAAATGCTCACTAATGAACAAACTGGTGATATTTGTTTTGCTGTTTTCATTTATGAACTAGCAGGGCATCGGAGACCTCCGCCATGTTTAACCAACTAACAACAAACACCAATGAAAACATAACCCACTTGGTGGAGGTGATAAAATAGGTGCTGTCTTCTTTGTCTGAGGTTATAGTACAATTTGTTTGAGATCAGTGGGTCACTTGACATAGAAGCTATTAAAAAAACTAGAGCGCATACCTCCGCCAAGTCCCAACAGTCTCCTTATGAAACCACATTTTTATTTGAATCTGCTCCAAATCCCACACACTCATGGATGTCAGTCTGCTCGTAAAATATCTATCCCGTAATGTGTAAGAAAGTGAAAAGTAAATCCTGGCTCCACCGAGATCAATTAATTCATTTTTGCGTAATCCTGCAAACCAACCAACTAACTAACGCAGATGAAAACACGGCGTCCTCGGCTGCGGTTACTCTATTACAGCCAAAGATCTTACGGCTACAGACGAACTGTATTTTGAACTGAGCCGCACAACTCGGTCACGGCAAAGCAGTGAACTGCATCCTGCACTGATAGAATCAAAAACCCTCTTTCTTTAAATGACACTATGGAAAGATAGATTTCTCAACTCCCCATAGTCTTTTTTTTTAAGATGCATTTCTTCTTCACTGCAGCGTAGAGAGAATAATGTGAAGACTAGTTCTGTTTCTAGGTCGTCTGTAAGTTTTTGCATCTACAGTGTGAAGTCCACATGTGTCTGTTGTTTTTTTCCCTCATTTCATTAGTCAGACGTTTGATTACATTCCTAATTTAATCAATAAATGATTTTTATTTTCATTTTGTGCTTGCATGGTTTTCCTCTTGTGTTTCTGTTTCCCATCATCCCCCGGTGCTGATGCTGAGTTGAGTCTTTTGGTTTCCCCTCATCGTTTGATGTTCACTAACCTGACGTAGCCAGCAGGTGGCTGAAGAGGTGTCGTGCTTTGACTTCACACATTCCTCATCTCTTCAGCTGCTTCAGTTTTTTTTATCCCTTTATTGAAACTAACTGGTTTTAGCATAGTGTAGCACTTCAGTTTGTGAACCATCTAAATTACACCACGCACACTTTCATCCTTTTTGTCTTTTTCTAAATACATTGAGCGCACGTACCTCAACCAGTCGGCCAAATAGTTCTAAAGTACACACAGTCATATCGATTCCCTATATATGGCTGATTTTAATTTCATTGTTCCCTGGGAATTTATTAAAATATCCACACAAAAACATAAAGAAAGTGGAAAAAAAATTCCCGGATCTGCGACATAATTGAATGGCTTCTTCTCTGACCCATCTCACATCCTTCCACCAAGTTTTGTGGAAATCTCTTGTGTTGCTTTTGTGTAATCTTGCTTACAAACAGATGGGGGTGAAAACATAACCTCCTTAATTAAGAGGGTCAGTTAAAAACTTTCATCATAAGAGAAAATAATGAAGATGTGATTATTTGTTGTGAGACTTTAGCAAAAAAAAAAAAAAAARAACAGACAGCACAACCTACAGTAGCAACAGTGTTTTCAGATTAAATGAGCTTTAACGTTTGACACAAAGGATAAAAAAGTATCGTAGCCCAGAAATGTGTCGGGTGGTTAAGTTAATGGACATTGATTTTAAAACACAGTGATGTCACAATACCTGTGTGCATAAAAGTGATGGTCATTGTTTCACACAGAGCGATGTGAGCTGAAGTGCGTTTCCCATGAGGCACAAACATTTAATGAGATTGTTGTCGTGGGTGGATTTAATAATGTGCAACACAAAGAGAGAACTGTGAATAAGAACAGTTTTATTAGGCTTCCCGATGAAGTAAGAATTACTTTGCCAGGGACATCCCACATTTTCTTCTGTTGTCCTGAATGGTTGATATTTTCTTTTTGCTCCGCTGCAGTCGTTACAAAGAACATCTTCTCACAAACCCCTGGTGGAAAATATCCAACCTGAGATTTCTACATCCAGTTCAATTTACTTGTCGTGCTCCCAGCGCTAAAAAAATAAAAATTAAACTGATGCCAGAAAAATCTATCTCTCAAATCCAATCCAGATGTGTTACACCTGCATTTGCGTCACGTGTCTTGAAGGTCTCCTCTCCCAGGAGCTGGTTCTTTGTCCCTCTACACAGCTTTGGAGCCACTGCTCTCGAGTGTCGAATCTGGTTTTTATAACATTTTATATTCAGAAGATGGTGGTTAACATGAGTAGAGTCTACAGTGAGGTCTGTGTATCTGACATGTTAGATGTTGTCTTTAAATCCGACTCTTTTAAATGTTTGCGTGCCTTTCTAGATTTAAATTTTCTTGAATAGCAGGCAGAAAACCCGAATATATCTCAGAGCTTTTCCACAAGAGGTAAGTGAGAAGTATGTTTTGTAACCAGGGTGAAACGGATCATTTAATGTTTCTTCAAACTATGTTTTCAGAAATGAACGCTCATCGGTCTCTCATAAATCTGTCTTAACGTCATGATTGGAAAACTGTCTCATGCTCCTTTGTTCTGCAGCGAACAGCGAAGTTTTTGTCTTTTCTCTCACAAAAATTGTCGAGCATGACATTGGATACTCGTTTGAAACGTGTTGCAGGAAGCAGGAGTGCAGCTCGTCGTAACACTGCATGAAAGTTGGAATGTGAACGCCTGGAATGATGACCTGTGTTTCAACATGGCTTAAAAAAAAAAAGAGAAAGTACTAAAGCATGACATATGTTACTCCAGAACCGGTTCTGCTGAATAAAGTTTTGATACAAATGTTTTGCATGGGGCCAGTATACTTTGTACAGGTATGAACATTGAGTCTATATTTACAATAAACCTGTAACATGGGAAGCATAGACACGATTATTCAAATGTGAGTTTTACTGCACTGTTAATAATTCAGTGGATGATCTCCATGTTTGCTTTAAATGTACCAGTGACTCATGCACAACGACACGGGGATCAGTCTGTCGTGCGGTTTAATGGAGCTGGAAGGTTTCACCAGATGCAAACCAGCTCAGACATATCTTTAAAACCCATTATCAACACTGTCATGCATTCACTCCAATGAAAATGGATTTTGTTGGCAGGTCAGGATGTGCACGTCTCAGGAGACGGATCCTCTCGCTGGCTTTTAATGTCAAGCACCTGAACGTTCAGGAGCAACAGCAGAGCCGACGACTGTCACATTAGACAACAAGTCAGTGTGTCACCACCGGTCTGATCATATCAATGTGATCAAATGATGTAAAGAGCATCACGCGCGATCACACATGCACTGTATGAACTCACACTTGTGTAGTATTCAGTATTTAAAAATGAAGAAATACAGAAACTACATTTAAATATCAGTAATTTATTTCCACTTCTTGTTGTTATGTGATTCAGCTGCTGGGAAATATAGTTAAAATACAAGGAAAACAGGCAAGAACACTGAGTCCTACATTTCCCATAATGCAAATCTATTGTCTTTCTATTAGACCATTTATCCATCCATGACATCTCTGCATCATCAGGGCTTATTTATAGAGATCTGACAAAGATCTTCCAAACAGTTTACGATTGTAAAAGAATGTATTTGCTGTCATGAGTGAAGAGTGCCCGCTAAATAACGTGTGTCCAATTTGAACCGTTAATTAGTGATAAGGAACAGACACTGTCAGGGGAGGAGTCCACACGCCCACATTACTCTGTTTGAGCTGAATATTCCTTTTGTATATTCAACAATTAATTGTGTTTGTGTGAGACTGGAAAGAGAGCGAGCACAGAAGTCATAAGACGAGAAGAGAAAACTAGTTGCTCAACTTTAATCAAGACAAAATTTGTGTCTGATTTATATCTGAGCTCCCTTCTTATTTGATGAAGTCAGTGTTGAATGGAGGCTCCTGTTCTCTCCGTTAACACTGTTTCACCCTTGATGAATTCCAAAAGCAGCAGAGGGAACTCGGCTGGAGGTGAGCTGGTCCCAGAAAACACATGAGGCTCCCTGTCACATGCTTCCAGTTTGTATTTGTCAGCACACAATGTGAACCCAAATGGCACAAATGCTCTTTTCCTGGATGTGAGTGACCAGAGACCGCCACTGGATACAAGTGACACATATTCTTTCTGACCCCGTCTTCAATAAAAACTGAACTGAGCCATAGTCTGCAGGTACACTCAGCCTGTTGTACAATAAGATAGAAAAGATATAAAGAGCTGAACGTGATGATAGTTTTCAATTTCGATTTCTGATAATTAACAAAGAAAAACATGTACACAACCTTCTTCTGTTGTCCAGTCAACAATTTAAAACCAAAATATACTTGATATTCATATAAGAAAATGAATTACAAATAGTTATAGTTAACGAATCAATCTAGTTTTAAAAAAATGTAAAACCTAAGTCGACAAATCATAAAGTACAAGATCTAAAACTAAAGTGATATATGTGATATATCATCTCAAATCACAGACAACAAACAGCCTAAATTATACCTCATTTAAAAGCAATGAGAAAAGAATACAGGCAAATAAAAGAAACAATGAGGTAAGAGCCATTGTGTGAGGATAAGCCTCATTATGTGGTTGGACCTCAAGTCCCAGGACCCCCAGCGTGTGTGTGTGTGTGTGTGTGTGTGTGTGNGTGTGTGTGTGTGTGTGTGTGTGTGTGTGTGTGTGTGTGTGTGTGTGTGTGTGTGGGGGGGTGTGGGGGGGGAATCCAGCTGTGAGGACAAACCCCGCCCATTCATCGAGAGATGTGGAGAGCTCAGATGTGGATTGACGGGCCTGTCGTCCAATGACAGGGCGCCGGAGCGTGACTCACCCTGTCCTCTCCTCCAGTGGCAGCTTGGCGGAGGGGCGGGCCGCAGGAAGCACACTTGGTTGAATGACCATTAAAGCAGCAATCAGCGGTAAATATGTGATGATGCCCCGCTACGAAACAGACACCGAGCGGACCGTCCGAGCCGGGGAGACTGCGCGCTTTGGCACCGCCGGGTAGACGCACCGTGCCCCGCTTGGCCGCGCGCGGAGCCCGGGCTGCTGAACCAAACCTCAAATCGCTCCCTGGGGGAATCGAACAGTGATGGACAGCTGTTGGACAGTGATCCCGGCGCCGAGGCTGAAGGTAAACTGACCGTGTTGCAAACACACGCTGCACCATGGACCAGGGGGCTGTTGTTTGCGGCTGCCACCGGCGGAGAAGGAGCAGCGGCCGGTGAGTTTGTCTCCTCCGCTCCCATCAGCGCAAACGTGCGGAGGATCGTGATGATGCTTTGCGGCCAAACGTGAGGCTCCCACCCCTGAGCACGCTGCGATGTTACGGTGCGTCTTCGGAGGAACCGCCAACATGAGATTCGACTTTTTAATCCTCCTCCACCGTCTCTTTTACGCACAAACCGCTCACAGGAACCCAGGACACATGTGCGCAGATATTACGGATCCACGGTGTAATTGACGTTGTTGCGCTATGATCTCCAGGGGCCATCTGCACGGGTGTAATGGTTTCATCGTGTGCATTGCGCGCTGCCTTGCAACCTCTCCATGGATGGTGGTTAATTGGGCCCAATGATGTGGAGCCAAATCCACCTGGACCACATGTTTCCTCCTCTCCGTGCGCAACTGGCTCCCTTGTGACTTTTGCGCATGTTTAATTGTTTTTATCCCCGGAGGGGTTTTTTTTAATCACCACTTCTGCTTATTGTTTTGGATAATTCCATGGCGATTTACAAAAAATAAAGATTTTAAGAAAAAAATTGAAGTGACTGTGACAGTTCCCACGTTATTAAAGGATAGAAAGCGCACAGATCTCGGCCAACTATGGGACGTTTCTCCATCAGTGCGCGTTTGTTGCGCCTCCTCGTTGGGACTAAATAGTTTTCTGACACTATTTGTCAGCGGAGCAAAACTTTCCCTGCAGTTTCCATTAGTTTAAACACATCCTACTGTCGCCTCCAGCCATCCACCATGTCCAGATCAAACAGTGTCAGCCCACCCGGAGTCGGTGCGCCGAAGCTGAGGGGAGGGACCGAACACAGAGCAGCTTGGGGAGAGTCTGAGTCTGTGGCCAACGGGTGCCCATACTCTGCCAGATCCCCGCGCAAGAAGCTCACTCGGACTAACAGTCGGTGGCGAGAGGAGGATGATCCGGAACACCGGCAGCCCGGGCGAGCCTCCACCACCGTCAGCAGGGTCAGCTTCAGGTCCAGGTCGGCTTGGCAGGACCATGGCGAGGAGAACCGAGGCCGCGCGTCCCCGAAACGCCCCAACGACGAGGTGAGACCCAAGTCCGTGGAGCTGGGTCTGGAGGAGCGCAGAGCCAAGCGGAGGAGCAACGACGAGGAGGTCATGCCCGATGTTAACTTTTCTCTGGTGGCGTGCTGCACCAGCGTCATGCACATTTTCAAATCCAAGAAATTCCAGTCGGAGAAGTTGGAGCGGCTCTACCAGCGCTACTTTTTCCGCCTCAACCAGAGCAGCCTGACCATGCTGATGGCGGTGCTGGTGCTGGTCTTCACGGTCATGCTGGGCTTCCACTGCTCCGGTGGGGCGACGGGGCCGAGCGTGACGTTCGTGGTGGTGTTTTCCGTTGCCATCTTCCTCACACTCGTGCTCATGGTGGTGTGCAACAGGAACGGCTTCCATCAGGACCACATGTGGATCGTGTGCTATGTGGTCATCCTGCTGGTGCTGGTGGTCCAGGTGATCGGGGTTCTGCTCGTGCAGCCCAGGAGCGCGTCGGAGGGCATCTGGTGGACCGTGTTCTTCATCCATGTCATCTACACCCTGCTGCCTGTCAGGATGCGCGCCGCGGTCATCACTGGAGTTATTCTGTCCGCCATCCACGTGGCTGTTTCCTGGATGTTAAACGGCGTGGACAGCTTTCTGTGGAAGCAGGTATGTGGAACAATGTGCTTTGTTTATCATGCTTTTAGGATAAAGTGCACAGGGAGCTGATAGTACGCACACACGCAGTTTGTGCAGCTATCCATGTTAGGACTTTGCACTGACTTTCACTCTTAGTGGACCGGTTAACCAAAACTTTATTCCTAACCATGACCAAATCATACCCAACCATAATGTAATCTAGAAATTACGTTTTAGCTCGTGAGGACTGGACTTGTGTTTGTGCTAGAAAAAGTCTTGAAGATGCAAAACGTTTCTGGTTAAGGTTTAGGGTCAGATGTGGTTAGGTCTGGGATAAGGTTTTGGTCAGGCTGTCCGCAGTGAAGTCAATGCAAAATCCTACTGAGAATTAGGACTTCGGAGCCACAAGGTCTGATCCTGACAAGGTCAGTGTTTTTGCTGGAAAGGGTCCTAAAGACACAACAACAACAAGTACACACACACACACACACACAGTGCAGAACACGGGCATTTCCTTTTAAAGCGTCCTGCTGCCAAACTTTTCTTCATTCATGAAACTTGGGGTTTGGCACTTACAGAAGGTTGAACGAGATGCTATCCAATGGGAGTGAGGCGTTCCCTTCTTTACTGCAAATTTCCCCCAGTTTGGGACAAATAAAGGATTATCTTATCTTATCTATCCCATGTCCAAAAGCTCCTCACAGCGGTGGCATGCACCGACTCTCTCAGGGGGCAGGAGAGAAAATGAAAAAGTGTCACCATCACCTCTCTCATGCACTTTTCTTCACTCGGCTGCTTAAGTGACTCTATGTGTGTTGGAAAAGTGCAAAAGAAAGGATGTTGTTGAGGAGAGCCTGTGCAAAATCTCATAATCCGTCATGTAGAATGTACAGAGTCCAAAAAAGGTGCAGACTTGTTTGAGAGGAATCAGGGAGGCTGTGTTAACGCAGCCACTAGGAGGCCGTGACAGCGGACTTTTCATCTAGCCTTGACGATTTTGACCACGCAAGCATGAACACCTCTGCCTTCAGATGTGTTTCAACCATGAAGGTTGCATGAAGGTTATTGTGTTGACCAAATGGCATTAGAAGTTAGTTGCACTTTGGCTGACGAGATGGGCATTTTGGGGGGGGGGGGGGGGGGGGTGACAGGTCCTGAAAAATGCCACCACAAATACAAAAGTGTTGATTTTCTCATCCAGTTCTCTCGCTGTCACCATGGCTGCAGTCCGTGTAACACCAAATAACTTAATTGTGCAAATTGATCCAGGGATTGTTGCACAAACACTTCGCCAAGAGATGCAATGTTGCCACGGAAACCACCGCTGGTTTGATACTCGTACAGGGCGCAGAAACTAGAATTGTTACACAAGTGCATCCAATGCAAACTACTGTCAGACGCTTCCTTGTTTCCACTTTGAATAACTTCACCAACAGTGTGAAAAGAGGCTCTTCTATAAATAGCAATAATGTCAGAAAAAAACATATTAGATTTCAGGCAAAAATAGAGACTGTGGCTTTATTCTAGTTTCTAGTTGTGTGTAACAGACTTGGATGTAATGAACGTGCACGAGAACACACCAGAATGAGGTTTTAATGTTTCTGACTGGTTATATTTATTATATCTTTAAGCAATAGCTCGGATATGCAGATAATATAAATCCAACCTCCAACCTCTTAACATTGGCCTCTGAGCACATTTCTTACCACAGATATTTAGATTTTCATAATAAAGTGAAGATAAAGCTGCTGGTTAAATGCTTCATATTTAAGCTGTTTACAGAAGAAATAAGCGTTGGTGCCCTCGGCTTCGGAAAGACTGATCTCAGGTCGTGTGTTTTACTGCATCTGGACTTGTAATAATCTCCCAGTTGATAGTTTCAAGGGATATTTGTTAATGTGCTGCTGAGCCTACGCGTTGCTCATAAAATCTAAATGCCCCAGGTTGTGATTTTTTTTTTTTTTACAACATCGATATTACTTTCAAAACATTTCTGCTGGAATCTTCAATAAAGATTCTTGCACAAATGGGTGTAATTTTCCACAATTAGTTAAAGCTACACTTAACGGCATCATACACGTACGAGTTCTAACCCTCAAACTCCCTGCATGTGTTTTGCTGAAGCTCTAAACTCTCTTCGTATTGTTCAGGCTGTTTCCAGCTCACTTCACAGTTTTTATCAGGCCCCTGTGCTGCTCATAAACATTTTCTCCAACTATGTGGCTCCTCTACGTTAAGTGCTTTCATTAAGATGCCTCCCTGAATATTAGATGATTTAACTCTATGGTTTTGTACTGAGCTTCTCCTGAGATGTCCGTCGATGTTCCACATTAGAGAAAGCTGAATGGAAACGTTCAGTTTCATCATTTGAGGTCTGGTTATTTCTGTAAAAGGTAAATAAGTAACTTTCCTCATCATCAGTCATGTATCTAGCTTTAGAGAAAATTAAGTTATGCACCATTTAAAAACCCATAAAAGTGCATTAACAGCCTCGTAATATGGTTCAGTGTCAAAAATCCTCTTCAGTCATGTGAACAAGTGCATCAGCAGTGAACACGGGCAAAGAATTTGTTGAACTCCGGAAAAGACATCGGATTTCACTTTTTCAACGCTTTGTTTCTTTTTGGAATCTAATATTTAGTTTTCTAAGCAAAAACCCAGCGAGTAGTTTAGTTTTTTTGTGTGAATGGCATGTGACCCAGCATCTATTTGTGTTTTCTTTTCTCTAGCGAAAGCCACATTGTCATTTGATGTGTTGATGTGAGTGTGTGGGAACGAGCTGCTGTATTTGTTGTTCTTTCCTCACCATGCTGTTGTTTTTAGCATATCTGTTCTCTCCTGTTTACATAAGACCCGGCTCTTCGCTGAGTTAGACCGCTGCTGTTTATGTGCGATCCCAAGATAATGCCATTTCTTCTACGTGTGCTCCCAGGAAAACTGATTTTTATCCCAAGATTTTTTCGAATTCAACATCGTTCAACCTTGTAACCTTCCCCCTGCACCGGTGGAAGACACCATTTTGACAACAGCGTAAAGTGTGAGTGGCTGTTGAACGTCACGGCTCTTTACAGGTGAAACCGAAACCTGAAATGGGAATAACTTTGAGCACGGTAGGTTTAATGAGCACACGGAGGCAGATGTTGAAAGAACGACAGGATGTGGTTTTTCTGTGGGTCTTTTGTTTCACCTCATCCAGGTACTTTGCTTGAAATCAGAGTTTTAGGCTCCATAGCACGAGGTCTGTATTTCAATGTGAAGCAGGTTTTGACTAACTAACTAACTGAAAAATATATATTATTATTTTGTCTATGTAATTTAAACAAATGGAAATCTAACTTCTGTCCAATGTTAAGACAAGAAGCTAGAAGGTTCTGGATTTGAACCTGATGAAGTTTGCATGTTCTCTCCATATCTACGTAGGTTTTCTCCAGGTCCCAAAGTCCAAAGACCTGCAGACTAGGGTTGGGTCGTGTGGAGACTGTAGATTGTCTGTAGGTGTGAATGGTTGTTTGTCTGTGTGCGTTGGCTCTGTGATGAGCTGGCGACGTCTCCAGGGTTTAACACGGCGCTCTCTCGACGCTCAAAGGATAAGCAGTATGGATGATGCATGGACGGACGGACATCTAAGAAAGATGATCCTGGATTTAAAACTGAGAACCAGCTTCGGCTTTTCTTTTTGGAGTTTGTGCATTTTCAATAGACTACCTCAATGCCAGCTGAGATTGGCTCTGGCTCCCAGGGACCGTAAGTTGAAAGTTTCTTCTTCCTGTCCCCCCAAAAAACCTGGGGTGCTACTGTTGAGGCGGAGTTTGCAGTGCTGGACTACAGGCAGGTTCATACAGAAAACAAGCTGTGGTGGGTGCGAGTATCCATGTGAGGAAATGCTTTGGGAACTCGCAGTGCTGTTGACATTAAAAATAAAAATTACAACTCGCAGCATCGTCTTTTTATCCCGCGTCTTCTTCTGCATTGTCAAAACGTGGTGCCATCATTTGAAGTGGTTCTTTCCCAACTTCAGATTATTTCCATTTTCAGATTTTAGTCCTCGGGTCTCCAACCTCAGGTGAAGCCACTGGGGATTTGTTCAGGTTGCCACAATAGTTGGTGAGCAACATATAGTAACAGACTCTCCATCGCCTGTTGCGTCCTTGAAATCTCCTTTCCTACCTCTGCCTTAGCAGAACGTTATGAGCAACAACTTTATTACTTTGCATCGTGCAAGATGGATCTGTTTAACTTCTCTTATCTTTACTATTCATGAGATTCTTGCAGGAACTTTATGCTCCTGAGTTACTGTTGAGTTCCTGTGTTTAGCTGAGAAGCTGCATCCTCCACAAATTCAGGGAGCGGGGAATTTAAGGGGCTCAGTCCTTGCTGGCGGGATTCCAGTGATAACAGGGTCTGCCCATCTAATTGAAATGCCTATTACTCATAATGTGTGTAAATTCAAAACAGATGTCCACATCATCTCCCCTTCCTTTACCTGTCTTTAGGCAGCCATCCCTCCTGGTCCTGACCTGCTTTAAGACATGTTTTTAATTTCCCCATGAGACTCGACTCCTGTGGAAAGACTTTTAACCTCTACCCTCCCCTCCAGGACAAAAGTACACGTGCTTGAGAGTAATGAGACAAAAGTGCCCCCCAGGAAAACTTCTCTAAATCAGAATCCAAACTTCAGATTTCACATAACAAAGTTCATTGCTGTATCGCTGTCCCCTGTGGCAGTTTCCAAATAGTTTCAGCGGCTTTCTGATTAGTTTGATTGTATCTGTAGCTCCCAGAGGCTGAGGAGTGTGACAGAGGATGCTGCTGTTATAGAGATACGGTTTGATCCAAACATGGACGCAGGGCAGGCCTGAGTACTGTTCACAAACCGCTGCTGACGCATTCCCCTGCGTGTCCAGAAAAACCGCTCAGAACTGCTGTAACTTAGCAACAGATTTTATTTCACAAACGCCAAGCGGCTCCTCTCAGCGCTTCCCTGGGAGTAACCTGTGTGTATTTCACCTCCAGTCACTGACAGCCTGCAC